CCTGGCTACATAAGTGGGTTAAAATTTTTAAATAACATTATGCAAATTAACATCCTAAATACTAAATAAAGTATATCTTTAGCCTCTTGTCCAAATGGCTAAGGGAAAGGAAAAGTATTTTCCCAATTGCCTTCTCATTTGCAGGGCTGCCAAACTGCCTTGAATGGTGTTGGTATTTGACATTTTTTGCAGTATTCATTAATTTATTCATTACAGCAAATAATTGAGGCATTGTTTTAGAAGCTGGGGATACCACAGTGAATAAAACAGAAAGATTACGTTCTAATGGGGGAGAAGATGAAAGATAAAAAGTATGTAAGTAAAAGTATAAGTATGTCAGAACTATGGAGACAAATAAAGCTATTACAATAATGCAGGAAAGAGCTGGTAGTCTTTTGGAACAGGGTGATCACATTGGAGCTGCGAAAAATGGTTGAATTATTGAATTATGGCTATATTATGAAGTTGAAGCTGACAAGATTTACTAAAATATAAGATGTTGGTGTAAGAGAAAATAGTCAAATTTTTAAAATCTGAGCAACGTGAAGGATGTAATTGCCATTTATGGAGGAGAGATTGTGGGTGTTCTCATTTGTTTTGGCCAGTAGTAAGAAAGCTTAGTTTTGGTTTAGACTTGTTAAATTTGAGTTGTCTTTTAAATAGTCAAATAGTGATGTAAAGTAGGCAGGTGGTTATCGGAGTTTGAACTTCAGGGGAGGGGTTCAGGCTGAAGATATAAATTTTGTAGTCATCAGCATAAAGTCATCTGATTATCCGTGGTTGGCAAACTGCGGCTCGCGAGCCACATGCGGCTCTTTGGCCCCTTCAATGTGGCTCTTCCTAAGCCTTAATTAGGAGTACCCTAATTAATTTAATAACAACGTACCTACCTATATAGTTTAAGTTTAAAAAATTTGGCTCTCAAAAGAAATTTCAATCGTTGTACTGTTGATATTTGGCTCTGTTGACTAATGAGTTTGCCGACCACTGGATACCATGTAAGGTGCAAGTGTAGAGGTCTGAAGACTGGGCTTTGGGAATTTGCAGTTTAGAGGCCAGGGTGGGAAAAAGACCCAGGAAACAAGACCTTGAAGAAATGGCTACAGAGGTAGGGAGAAAACAGGAAATGGTGATGTCGGGAAGCACAGTGGAGGGTGGTTGAGAAAGGAGGTAGTAAATGAACTGTGTCAAATACTGCTCACAGGTCAAGTAGGGTGAAGACTGAGAACTGGTCATTGGATTTAGCAATGTGGAGATGCTTGCTGATCTTGACAAGAGCAGTTCAGGTATGTGGAAGATAAATGAGGCAGCAGCGAGGGAAAGGCAAGAGAGAGGAATTTTGTTTTTAAGACGGGAGAAATAAAGCCAGAACTTCTTAACTGATGGGTCAAGCTTCTCTGTATGGACTCTGTGTATAGCACATTACTATATCCCCCCAAAATGCCATCTTGACCCTGGGGTTGCAATCTTACTGCAGGAATCGGAAAAAAATAACAAAATAGTGAGAACAGGTAATTAACATTAGAATAGTTTAAGAGGATTATAAAGTATTGGTTTCACAGAGAAGGTGGAGTTTAAATTCTACTTAAAAATATAAGTTGGGCTTGAGAGACCAAGATGGCGGCATAGGTAAACACCGGAGACTGCTGCCACAAACAACCACTTCAAAAATACAACTAAAAGACGGAACGGACATCACCCAGAACCACAGGAAGGCTGGCTGAGGAGAGACTCTTCAACTAGAAGGAAAAATAACAGCACACCGAGGCTCAGAGGAGGCGCAGTGTGGAAAAAACTCAGGTGCGGAGGTGCGCGCGCAAAGCGGGCTGGTGGCTGAGAGCGCGGTTGTCGTTTTCGGTCAGGGGGGAGTCTCAGACTCTGAGCTCCAGATACGGGCGAATCGCTACAATGGAGTTTAAATTAAAAAAAAATATATAAGTTGGATTTAGGTAGATGAAAAGAAATGGGACAAAGGGAAACAACAGTATGACATTTGAGGAACAGCAAGATTGGCCTGGCTGAAATTCAAATTAAAAAGAGATGGGTGATAGACCCGGAGAGCATTGACCCCCAGCTAAGTTCTGCCTTTATTATTTTGGCAATGAAGATTAAGAGAGTTAAATAATCCCATCTGTGGTAGCTCTAGAATTAACAATTAAAATCTTGTTAATAGTTTTGTGATTATTTTTAGCAATTTTCATTAGAAAAGTCTCTCAAATGTCGTTTCAATAAGCACCACTAGGTATTAGTGAAGTTAAAGCTAAAACAACTAGATGAATTTAAATATAGTTACTTTTAAGCATGAAAAAAAAGGTTGCCCTACACATGACAGAAACACTTCTTAGGAACCACAAATTTTTTTTTAAAATGTTGATTTTATCCCATTTTTTGTGTGCTCTGGAATGGTATTTTATAAATAAAAGATTTAAGTTATTTCTAACTAATCTATTAGATATTTTATAGCTCATAATATCCTCAACTCTAATTTTGGAAAATAGTCTTTTGTTTATACTACTTTATGGATGTAACTTTTAAGGAAGTTTTATGATATTTCTAATTCATATCATATGACACTAGAAGAGATTTCATGAAAAGCAAATATAAATTTAAAGTGCTTTTCAAATGTGAGTATCTTAAAAAGTTCTCACCAATCCTCAATGGCATCCTAAACATTACCAAACTTAATATTTAGAATTCTTAAAACAGTTGTCAAGATCATGCCCTAACGGGTTTGGCTCAGTGGATAGAGCATCGGCCTGTGGACTGAAAGGTCCCAGGTTCGATTCCGTCCAAGGGCATGTACCTTGGTTGCGGGCACATCCCCAGTAGGAGGTGTGCAAGAGGCAGCTGATCAATGTTTCTCTCTCATCGATGTTTCTAACTCTCTATCCCCTCTCCCTTCCTCTCTGTAAAAAATCAATAAAATATATTTTTTAAAAAAATAGTTGTCAGGATCAATCCTGCAGGTAATTAACCAAGTGTTTTTTTCAACAAGAGAAGCTGTTAGGTTGAGCCATCTGAGCTGCCAAAATTTCTATCATGTGTAGGTAAAAAATGGTAGTATATTAGCGATGTAATGCTGTTCAACATAAAAAATTCCAACTGGGCTCTCCCAAGGTTTTCTAGATTGGTGGAGTTCCTATCTAAAGGGGGAGGGACAATCTAAAGGGAGTGGCATTCTCCTAGGAAGTGCACATTCTTTGACAAATTGGCTTTTATTAAGTATCTATTACATAGAGGTTCTATCCTAGGTCCTATGGTTTATTTATTTAGCCTTAATGGTTCACAATCTAGTAAAGATATGAATATAAATAGATATACTTATCATTAAAGTTAATTTTACCAAGCTTAAAAGTTCCCTATGCTAACATTTGAAATGTTAAGCTTATTTGTGGAGGGAAATAATCTCCCATCTTTAAAGTTATAACTGGTCAACTTATTTCACAATGGAATGGTAGGGTATAAAGGTTATTTTATACCAGCACTTAAAGCAAATAATAGGATCTAGTTTGTAGGTATACGGAATGGTTTTAGATGAAGGCTTTGGATTTTTAATGCTATGTAGCCTATCCATAAAAATGGGAAGGTTTGTCAGAGGAAACAGGGAAGGATTGGGGTAAATTTGAGGCAGGTGAATACCTTTTGGGGCCAATAGTAGAGTTCTCAATGTGATTTATATTATAGAAAATCCGAGTTTAGAGAACCTCTGTGGCTTTATGTCAATTTCAGCATATCTAAATATTCTGTTAAACATCTTTTCCTGAAGAATGGTATGACTGAGTAAAGCATCTAGTCAGTATCTGAGTCAGTGCAGAAACAATATTAAAACATACACCATATACAGATGTTATCATTTGGCAACTACCATATTTATCTCTTATCCATAAAAACTCATAAAGAAAACAAATAAAACATATTTTAATTACAATTGCATTATATTTTAACTATTTTATATAACTACTAGAGGCCTGATGCACGAAGATTCGTGCAAGAATGGGCCTTCCTTCCCCTGGCTGCCGGCACCACCTTCGCTCTGGCCTGGAGCCACTCTTCCACCTTCCCACGCTGCCCAGAGGCCCTGAGCGGCTGGGGTGGTGCGGAACACCTGTGTAGTCACCATGGCAACCAAGTGTCCTGCCCCGCCCCCACCACTTGGTGCCTGCATTTGCAAATTAACCAAAGATTGGTTAATTTGCATACTCGCTCCTGATTGGTTGGTGGGTATTGCAAAGGTACGATCAATTTGCATCTTTCTCTTTTATTAGTGTAGATATACAAAATAAAGCAGTGGGGGATATTAAATAAGAGCATGTGATGAAGAAGCAGGGTTTACCAGTTAAGTTTTAGGCTTGAGTTCAAAAAGGAGAGAAAACATATTCACTCTTAGGTATCAGTGTTGGAGACAAAAGTGCTTCCAAAACCAGAAATACTGGTCATCTTTCTTCTTCAATTGTTTCCTCAGGAAGAATCTTTTTCAGGTGACAATACTTACAAGCTAAATTAAAATGCACTCTACTCATTGGCAAGCCACACCAGCAAGAATAATGTGATCACAGTACTTGGAAGTTTTTGATTTATAACTATACTATTCTCTACTTATAAGGCTGCAGTCTAGGAGGCAGAGCAATGAATCATTACAATTGTCTATCTGGGAAATGTCAAAGATTAAGTAAGGGCAGAAGAAGAGAGAAAAGGAAAGAACACACATTTCGGTCTTAGAAATAGTCCTCAATTAATGAGAAGATATCACTAGCACATGAATCCAGTGCTAAAGAAATATTAAATTTTTAAAATCTTCAAGTAAAACTACTAATATATCATAATGCTTACACTTCCTGAACAGATTATTCTCCAAAGCTCTGATAACTAAGTTATTCCTTTTTCAACTATCACAGTGATCTACACTAAGTTTGAAAAAGCAAATTTAATTTGAGAAAATGAATTAGACATTTAAACCAATCATTAATGGATCCAGCTTTTTAAAAAAAGCACACACACAGTTTAATTGATACTTTGCCATACAAAAATAAGCATCCACAGAACGTTTATTTACTGTTTAAATTACTCCATATTTTCACACATGATGAACAGAAAATATATTTTACCCCGCACATAAGAGCAAACAAGTGCAATCTTTCAAACATTAAAAGTCGTAATAAAATCTGTACAACAGATAAATAAACTTATACCTCTAACAGCTGTAACAATACCAAACCAAACCAATCCAAACAAAAAACATATATTGTCCAAAGTCACCGGTTTACTTAAAATTCTACTGAAGGTCATACATCTCAATCGTAACAACTTGAATCTTTACTAGACTGCACAAGTTTAGATTGATAAGTATTTTTTAAAAATAGGAGGGAGTAATAAGAAATAAAATGATTATAAAGAACTTTCCAAACATTGGAAATAATATACAAAATTAGTCAGGGGAAAACATATTAAATGGATCCACAGGGTAACTGGTATTATACTGATATAGCTTAAGGAAAAGAAACAGGTGAATGTTTGAGTTGGAAAGAAAATTTGGCCTTTTTATAAAAAGAAGTAATAGCATCAACAATGACAAAACCCTGTAATGGAGCCTAGAACAACTCTGTGAGACCAAGTGTACAAAGATTTAAGCTTGTACTAGTATATCTGAAAACCACAGTTAGAAAGAAAACCATGTCAGGAAACATAGCAACAGAACAAGAACACATAAATTAAAGGCATACTGTTCATCATTCCACACCATTGCACATCTGGCAAGAAAACAATACTGTAGTCATTCTTGAGAAAGTTTTCAATGAAGTAGGAATTACCATGATGAATATTGGTACAGACAATCTTATTATCACAAATTTAGTAAATATCAAAACAGTGTGACACTAAGCTAACTAAATTATCTATATTTTTTTACTGGAAAGGCAATTATTTCCCTGCCTTCATATGTTAACTTAAAATCACTTATAAATGGAAATATAGATCCAGTAGAAAAGACTTTTCACATGCAATCCTCTACAATGCACTCTGCTTCATCAATTTTTTTTCAGTATTTCACATCGGATATGTACATTTCCTATATATACAACCACACATGTTCAACAGACATCACTGAGCTGTCCTCTTACTGCACAAATTTTTATTTACCTATACAATTATATCTCAAGATAGATGCTTTTCTCCTCTAAGCAGGCAACAGTTAGCTTGAAGAGTGTAAGTTTTTTAGAATTTTAGCAACTTAATATCTTGATTTATCTTGAATTGATGATAAGATGAGGAGTCCACAAAAAAATGCAGCTATACATGCTAACCTTTTCAACAGAGATGAGTTATCTTTAGGAATAATGATCTGTGCAAGATCATTAGTGATCTGAGAAATTTCATGTGCCACACAAACGAATATGAAAGTGCTGACAATGATGTTGAGCATGGGGTTTCCAGGTATGAGTACTAAGATGCCCCTTGTGTCTGCTGCCAGCCATATGTGATATTGGCAAGTAAAGAGCTAGGAGGAAAAATATTTCAAGTTAGATATGTACAGAAGGTCCATGAATATAAAAGTTTGTCCTAATTTAAACATCTGATAGCATAATTATATTAGCAGACTTTTCCAAAACCTTTTAATTCTGTTTCACTGCTGGTTCTGAAAAGCCTACTGCAGAGTCCACTCTCCAGAACCCCTATTTGCGGAAGCACTGATTCAAAGTCCTCAAGAAACAAACCACAGAGACCCTCTAACTTTATAAAATTCTTTGTATGAGACCTGTCTTTGCAAGACAGTTGACAGATATCTGGACTCCCGTATTCAGACCTCAAGTAAAGAATGACTCCGTGTGTGTGTGTGTGTGTGTGTGTGTGTGTGCTGGGTTTGCGGTATAAATTTTGAATGGAAATAGCATAGTGTTTAAGATTTCCCCATGTTTGTTATGTATGGCCAAATGCTTTAGACCACATTCACATGTTTCTGAAGTGTATTTCAAGTTCTATGGGTGTGTATATATATATATATATTAGACGACACCACTATTTATTTTTATTGTAATTACAAATGTGGTTCTTTCATCACATTGCTTCAAAATATCAGAGTAGAAATATGCTAAAGCTACTTCAACAAATATGAAGACTATGATATTTCTATATTTTTAATAGAAACACTAAATAGTAAATTAATTCAAAGTTTATAAAACTCTCATGCTTTAAATATTAAGGGGCATGCAAAATAAATATTCTTTAGTCCACTGAATGACTTGGTAAGTCTTTCATGATCAAGATTTTTAAATTCTATGTAATCTGAGACTTAAAAAATAATAGAACATTTATTCAAGAACTCAAAAGGGACATTTATTTCCCTATTTTATTTTAGTTAATCCTCACAGGAGGATATTTTTTATGTTGATTTTTAGAGATTGGAAGGGAGGGAGGGGGAGAAAGAGGCGAGAGAGAGACACAGGGAAATAGAGAGATGTGAGAAAGAGAGACAAATTGATTGGTTGCCTCCCACACATATTCTGACCAGGGCAGGGGATCAAACCTGCAACCCAGGTACATGCCCTTGACCTGGAATTGAACTCTCAACTCTTATGTGCTCGGGCTGGTGCTCTAACCACTTAGCCATGGGCCAGGGCTTATTTCCCTATTATAAAGACAACTTAATAAATCTTATACTAAAAAATGTATCTTTTAAATAAATCATATGCTCTAAAATTTATCTTTTATGATTACAATATGAATTGTTTTAAAATATTGTTTCAAATACAGCTCAGAATACTCAGAATGTATTTCAAAACCTACTTTAAACTGATTTTATAAATTAATTTCATATTAGTATTACACACAAAATGTACTGAGTTTTAAAATTTCCCCAAAATTTCTAATTATAAGGATGCATTTTATTATGATAAGCATTATAACTATATTTAATTATGGAGATGAACAAATTAAAATCCCCTCAGCTGATTTCATTTATATCTACTAGTATTATATCTACTTTTTCTCTCCTGATCTCAGCATCTTGGTTGTCCTTAAAAGCTTAAGACAGTAAAAAGAACACTGTGAAAGTTATCTATGTCTAGTCATTTAAATAAAGCTGTAAAAAATTATATAATATGTTACTGCTTTTGAAAGTACTGAATTTCCCCCCTTTATAATTCCGTAAGTAACATAGCTTTGATTAAAAAAATGTCAGGTTGCCCTGGCTGGGCTGAAATATCCTCCGGTACACCAAAAAGGTTGAAGGTGTGATTCCCAATTAGGTGTGTATGGGAGGCAACCGAATGATGTTTCTCTCTCACATCGATGTTTCTCCCCTCCCCTCTCTCTCTCCCTTCCTCTCTCTAAAAATCACTAAAAACATATACTTGGGTGAGAATTAAAAAATAAAAATAAAAACATGTCAGGTTTACACACAAACACATATATATAAACGTACACATACACATGTATATGCACACAAGCATATCTGTAACACTTGACTGTTACATATATGACAGAGCAAAATATTAATGTACCAACCTCTAATGAAATTTTTCCAAACCAAGCAAAAAATGAACTGTAAACAGAACGGGCATATCCAGGAATATTCCTTATTAGAATAAAGGCTAAAATCTAAAGAAAAAAACCACAAAGGTAAATATTAATAATCTGTTTATTAAAAGCATTTTTGCTTTCCTTCAAGTCATAATTTATTCTTTATATTCTTAAACTTGATACATACAAAATACTTTCCCCCCAATTGATTAACAAGTTATTTTTGTTCTAGAGTGTATACAAACTCGATTTCTCAAACATGTGGTTTGTAGACTGCATATGAGTGCAGGTATTAGGTAGTACATGGTTGAGCAGTTTTAATTTATGCTTATTAGAAAAAATATAAACCCACTCTGAGGCTTCTTATGAAGAAAGAGATGATATCACATTTATGTGGCAAAATTTATAAAACCTCATGATATAGTTTTGCTTTTTCCATAAGAATCCTCTAGAAACTCTCCCTGCTGCTCTTTGCTGGGCTACTTGTTTTTCAGGCCTTGGCTTAGCACTATTTTCTCCAAGAACCTTGCTGTGACATCAAGATGGGTTAGGAAGAAGTTTTGTGTGTTTCCAAAGCACCCTATTCATCATCACACTACCCACAATGTCCTATGATTACCTGCAACCAGAGGTGTCTGCAAAAATGTAAATATGACCTGAGTTGCCTCTAGCCTCTGCCTACCTCCCAGTCTCTACCACACACTTACGAATGTGGTGTATGCTCCTTCCCACCATAGCCTGCCTTCTTGCTGCCTGCTGTGCCTTCATCCCTCCAAATCAGCTGAGATTTCTCAGGGAAATCATCCCTGACCTACACTCCAACCCCAACTAGGTAATATCCCCTCATGACGGTCTATTATTGCATCATGTACTTCTCTTTATAATTACATGGTAATTACATGATTACTATCTGTAATGGAAGAATGTAGGCTCGATAAGGATATAAAGTATGTCTGATTTGGTAATCACTATATCCTTCAGCATAATATCTAGTACATACTGGCATCAAATATTTGGTAAATGATTAAAAATTTCTTAAAAGCAAATATGAGAAGTACAATGAACATTTTCTAAGTGCCTAGTAAGTGACAAATACTGATCATTTCCATACATTTAATATAACAACCCTTTAAAAGAGATTTTAATATCCCTGTTACAATAAAGGAAACTAGGACTTAGAAAGTTTAAGTAAAATAACTATATTTTAAATAGTTTGATCTCAAATTTCTTTGCCGCTAAAGATGGTGGTGTCCTTATCAAGAATTAAGAAACACTTTCTTTAAATCAAGATAATTACCTGCACCACAGAAACAGATGGGTGGAGTTCATTGCACTCTGCTTTGTTCTTACAACTGCTAGCCCAGATGGAATAGGTCTAAAACAAAAAATACGTGAATAGGTTCACAAACGCAGTTACGCCCTAAAGAGTCAGCATTCTCAGGAAATGTTGATGTTTTCTTTATTTATCACATTATGCTTCATTATGTGATGTAAAAGCTTCAGTAAAACTTCCCACAGGTTTGCTCATCACTGGGTGTCTCCACTGCCCAGACATAAAGCACAGAGAGGGGCTTCGGTCCATGCTGCTCTGGGAACAGTGATCCTGAGGCAGTGATGGCTCTTCGTGTCAAACACCTTACGTTATGTTTCTTCCCAAATTTATTACAATTTTTAAAATTCCTATCACTTAGATTTCAGTTATTCTTCATATTTAACTTGTATATGTATTCACTTCTGAATTTATGTTCAATTGGAAAATTAAAAAAAGAATTTTAAAATATTTTATTTATTAAAAATAATAAGTTCAATTCCTATCTCTTAAAGGAAATTTTGTATACCAATTAGGATGTTGGAAAATTAGAAGATTACATTTTGAAACTTACCAAGAAAGAAACTACTGAAATAAACAATAGAACATTTGAAATTTTGTTTGAAAAAAGAGGTTCACCCTTTCCTTCAGAAAGTATTTGACGCTTCTGTAAAGTCAGATAAGTGAAAGCAAACAACATTCCATGAAAGACTACCTGAAAAATAAAGAGAGAAAAATTTGTTTTAAACAGCGTCTTTCCAATAAATAGCAACAAATGTGGTAAATGATAAAAACATGTATAAAAGTAATTAAGTTAAAAGCTTACTGGTAGTTTCAGAGTTTCTAGGACTTAAACTTCAAGAGTAAAACTTCAAGCAATGAAATAAAGCCCATGATTATTACAAACTATCAGCAATGGAAAAGCCATCTCTTGTAACAAAATGAGACAAACTGGCTCAAACTGAAGAAATAATGCAAGTGAAGAAATAATGACAATTTAAAAATATTAATAAAAAACTATTCTGAAGGCACATAAAATTTAATTGTACTCATCCAAGATAAAACATCTTATATTGGTACTTCTTTTAATTGAATAAAGCACAGAACGATTACAAGACCAAGTTCATATTTTCAAATAGGAGTATATGCACTTAAAGAGTGGAAAACACATGGTGGACCAGAGAGCTTTCTTTTTAAATAAAGACTTGATGTGAACTACCATATCATAGTAGAATGCTCTAGTGAGAAAGTTGAGAATTTAAAATTATTTGATGACAAGACCTTTGCAAAGCTTTTTAATAATAATTAATACATGGTTTTGAAATGCAATGCGTTCATTGGAAAATGCACAGGTAATGGGAACCAAGCACTGGCCCAGAAATAGGCACTAAGAAAACATTTGTTGAATGAAAAATGGGATAAGTGAAAGAAGGGAGGAAAAGGGAAAAGAGTAAAGAAGGGTAATTATGCAGTGCCTATTATTTAATGAATGCTGTGCTGGACGTTTTACATTTTGTTGGTCAACTGAATGAATCTTAACCATCCTTCAATATTAAATTCATGAAATCACCCATGCATGACACCGCTCTTTCTTCTTTTCAAATTTCTACCTCCAATTTCATACTGCATACCTAACACCCAATTATAAGTAGTAATCTTGGGTTTTAAACTAGATTTTAGTATTTAGAATCCTGGAGGTATGTCTTCTTTCTCTAATATGTCTTTTTTCTTCTTTCTCTTCATCACACCAACAGTAAAGCATATATTGGGGCTCAATACATATTGTGCTGAATGGCTGAAGCATACAAAGTATATGATGGGTCACCTGTAAGTCAAAATTATGACTCAAACAAAGGCCACTTTATAGACAACATTTTTACAGTATTTTTCTGCTGATATACAGGCATACCCTTTCTCTGCTATAAAAATGTAGAGAAATAGGGCTGCTTTGACTTAACATATCAACATGTGTCCTTATTCTAAAACTAAGTAAAAATAGATTAAAAATTTTCCAAATAATTTTTAAGAGTACAATATGAAATGGCAAAAGATCAGAAGGTAAATACATACGTAACGGTCTAACCTCCATCTGAACCACCATTCATATACATTTCCTTTCAGTTCAAAACACTTAGACAATGGCCAAAGAGAAAAGATCTTCTCAAATGCACCCTGAAAAAAGGAATCCAGAAAATAAATTAAAATGGTACAAGTAAATACTTGTCTTGCAATTCATTAAAAATAATAATTTTTTAAAGTTAGAATTATATAAGGATCACTCACAGTTTTTAGGTTCTCCTTATTTAACTTAAAAATATCACGTCATTTGAAATTCATTTGAAAAGAAATTTATTTTACTGATGACAAAACATTTTTGTTACTTTACTTTTACTGCACACGGAAGGCTACTGAGACTGAAAATTTTGAAAAGAATAAGCTGGTAATTGTAAAATTATTCCATTTAAAAATTTAAATCTAGTACACAAAACAGCTAATATTTACTGATCAAAACACAAAAATACAAAAGGCTTCAACCAATATGCTATAAATAACCTAAGAAATGATGGTTAAGGTTAAAATATAGTTCTTCTTTCTCTAAATGTCCTTAATAATCTATAATTAACCAGTTGAGTTAAAAGAATCTTCTGAATTAGTCACCTTAATCAATCAAACGGCAAGTGCCATTACTAGTTTTTGAAACAAAGTTTACGATTTTATTCTGGTGAAGTTAGTGAATTGTGCCCCTTTATTAACCTGACAGCCTTGAAAATCTGAGAATGTAGAGGCAGAAGTCTTGCGCACATTCCTGCACATTAATGAAGTCTTTCAAAGAAGAGAACAAAAACCTCAATTTCCAGACCAAAGAATGACGACAAACTCTATTAAGGAAAACTCCATTACTAGACCTAATTCCACAGCATAAAAATGTCTAACATCACAATTTTTTAAAAGGCTAATAAAAATTAAGAAAAATATGGAAACAGTATTGTATTTTAGGTAATGCTGAATGCTTAGGTCAGGAAAACTTTATTATTTTAATAAAATGTAATATTCTCCTTTTAATGACAGATTTTAAAATGCTTATAGCTTGTTAAAAATAGGTCCTATTTATGCCTCAGAATATTAAGGATGATTCTTAACAAAATTTTCAATATAAAGTACTTATATATCATATATGCAAACTATATGAAATACAGAAATATGACTTAATAGGTATATAGCTATTAGATATGATCATATGTATCACATATATGATATATTTGTAATGTACAACTTTATTTCTGATTAAAATTTTGTTTCTTATGTGATCAACAAACAAGTGTTTATTGAGCATCCATTATGTGAAAGACACTGGGCTATATTGGACTATGTACTTTTTTTCTTGTGCAGTAGTAAACACTAATCCAGGGCAGGGGAAACCTCCTTAGTTCCTCTATTGAACCTCTGGCCCACCTTCCTTTCTCTTCCTCAGATGCACCACGAGAGTGTTGGGAATTTTAATGAATGACTATTAAGTAGTTGTTGCAATTACTTGGCTTATTTCTGTACACATTTGCCAATCGTTTCTTTATTATTTCATAGATCTTCTGCAAAAAACCTTAGAGGTGGAGCAGTAATATAAATGCTTTATTTCTAAGTATGAAAATAAGTATGAAAGCCTACGAAACAAACAAGCCAGAAACCAGCTTTATAGAGAAACACACACACACACACACACACACACACACACACACACACAGCTTATATGACATTTGTACCTGATGTGACCAGGTACAAGACAGAGAGTTTGGGAGACAGGAGCAAGTTGTACAGAATATGTCACAACTACAGGCATTCAAATTAAAATATTTTGTTTATTGTACTGCCTAAACGATATGTCGATCTCATGGACTGACCAGCAGGTAGCTGAGAGAAAATGACTAAACTTTTAATTAAATTAAATATACTACATATGTACAAATCCCGTTGCTCCTAAGTTGGTTTTACTAACTGCCAAAATTTTACTCTGCAGTTATGGAAAAATCAAGTAACATTTTGATGCAATGAATAATGCACAAACCAAGTTGCAAATTCTGTCAAGAGAATTTTGATCTCCACTTAGAGTAGTGTCTTAAAGAGGCATTCAATAAATGTTTGATTGATCAAGTAAAATGGGTTCTGAACAATTGCCAGAGGAAGAGCTTTAAATTGCTCTTACAACAAAACAGGGGTAACAAAAGTGGGTCTCAAAAGATCTACATTGAGTAGTCAACTACCGAGTGACACTTTTATTACAGTCATTAAAAAATGAAGCTAAAGAAAAGCTCTGAATCTTCTCACATACTTTAATAGATTTGAACTCTAAAATAAAATAGAACAAAATATAAACTAAAAAGACTGTACAAACCTGAGAATATGCCAAAAAACATATACATAACAGCAAGAAGGCTAGTTTCAAGAGTAAACCAAAATGCCAGAAACAACTTCCTAAGAGAGAAAATATTTAATTTATTAAAAATTGTGAATTTACATAAGAAAATATTAGATACTATTTAAAGTATTAATACCCTGCATAGTTCTTAACATAATTTAAGGCTGCTTATAAGTTACACAAACTACATCTAAGCAGTGTAAGTTACAAGTAGAAAAAAAGGTAGAGGGTCCTTACTAGGAATGAGGCTACAACATATACCTGATAGCCTATATACCCACTATTCATCCACTACAAATATATTTGAAAACAACTCCTGAATTCAATTATACCTATTCATTATTGAAAGTTACAACAAAATTTGGAACAATATGTTCAATGTAATTTTAACAAACATGTTGAATCTAACTTAGACTGCTTAAACATTAAACTTCTAAAGAGAAAGCTTAAGAACTCTCTAATGGACTAGGATTTAACCGTAAAATATATTTTACATATACATGTTTTAAGTTATGTGCTCCCAGTTTATACACATTGATTATTCATTTGATTAATATTTTGAGTTTATGTCAAGCAGTTAAACTACAGAGGCTGTCCAAAGACACTAATAGATTTTACTAAAGGCTGGAACTCAACTCTTTCCCTGAAAAATTATTCGATATTATAATGAAAGGCAACAGAAAATATTTTTGATATACAATACTTGGTTAAGTTAAATAATTAAAATTTTTAAAATTATTTTTCCATAAAGGAAAAATACTTTAATTCTATGATCTTAAGGGTGAGGGGAAGCATTAAGGTAATGACTGTGGCCTCACTTTGAACACTATAAGTGACTGGCTGTGTGAAATTTGAAGATGACAACCTTTTGGACACTTAGGTTTCCTTATATGTAAAACAGGTTGATAATAACTGCTTAAAGGGTTGTCTAGAAGATAAATTATATTAGCACTTTTTAAAATTGTCTGACATAGAAAGCCTTTTTTGCAAATAAATGTTTATTAAAAATCTCAATATATATAAGAAATCAAATAAAGCAGAGTTATCAGGACTGAAGCAGGATGTAAGGGACAGGAGCCCTATTTGGCTTTCCTTTCTCATAGCTCTCTGCATTCTGGCTTTGTACTCTTTGAAACTGTTGCATTAGCTAATAGGTAAAATGGCTTTAAAAAATTTACATGTAAAAAGAAAAGACATAATATAGATAAAACTATTATTCTGCACTATTATTTCATTTCAACTATTTATCTGCAACATTTTAGAAACAGTTTTTAAGACCAAACTTTCAAAATGTCAATACTACACATAAATTTTAACTATTTACATGTCTCAAAAAATAGCCTTTACCAACTAAAAAGAAATTTAGTACATTGAAAGAACATATTTATTAACATAAGTAAGAGAGTATATTTACCATTTGCTTTTTTTTGGATTATTTGAGGCCATAGTGCTAAAGTAACATATATGACCATGAACCATACCGTGACCAAGGGGACAAAGTAATAGAATTGATAAGGTCGATCCATTACTATACATAACACCACTACCAGGAAATTGAGACGAAATAAGACCTATTAAAAAGGAGAAGAAAATGGTTTTCATTCAAGATATTCATGAACAGCAAAGACAGATTCTTTCTAACAAAGTATAAATGTTTGACACTAGAATAACAAATATATACGCATGTTTTACTAATCCCTAAAATTATATTTGTTCTATAGTCATTGTAAAGAGTTGGATATAAAATATTTATGCATCATTATATTAACTAAATCACAACAAAGCACAAGCCTGAGCTGTCCTCTGGCTGCAATTGCCATCGTGTTAAATGTAGGGAAAAAAAATCATAAATCTCCTTCCTAGAGCTCCAGTTTATAAGAGGAGATTAGATTACCTCAAGAAAAAGTATCCATTTCATCTCTATTTGATGTTGATTTACCCCATTTGGGATTAAATTGAGAGTTGTCATAGATACAAAATGATATTACTCAAATTAAAAAGTATCTTTGGGAATTATGTAAGTCATTTCAGACAGTGTGATGTCATTCAAAGAACAAAGAATTTGAGAGGTTGATATTAGAGCTGCAGCACTTACTATGTTACTACAGGCAAATTATTTAACCTCTCTGAGCCTCAGTGTCCTTGTTTGTACATGAGAAGATCACAACTCAGGTTTGTAATGAGAGATAAGTAAAATAATGTTCATAAATTGCCTAGAATAAGGTAGAAACTTAATAAATATTAATCTCTTCTTAGAGAGAGAAAACAGGCTATAATAATAATTCCAGGTAACTATACATTTCTACAAAACTAAAGAAAACCAGCAATGTTTTCCCTTGTGTACCAGTGCTTTTATTATACATTCATCTAAATTATATTTCCCTTCCCTCAGTAATAAATTATTTATCTCTTAATTATTAACCATAGAACATAGAAATAACACAATTTTAAAGTGCTATTTCAAAACTCAAATTATTCATGGTCTTATAATGACAATATTTATATTTTATTAACAGTTAGGCACAAAAGCATGTTGAAATGAAGAAAAAAAAAAGAAAAGAACTGAATGCATTCCTACCTGACATACTCTATGGATTCCAAAGTCTCCCTTGACCCAAAAATATGAGAAATGCCCATAGCCCGTCTGAAATAGATATGCAGCAACCAGAACTCGAACGTGCATGTACACAGGCAAAAACTGTTGACAAAAACAGATATGTAAAATATATGTTGGCACTAACTATACCTTGAATTGCCATAACCAGCACTTTTAACCAAGATAGTGGATCATCATTATCATTTGGCATTATCTCAATGAAAAGATTTATTCTCAAAAGTTACACATTATAGCAGGAGTTAAAAAATGTAGACTTTGAAATCAGATAGACCTAGATTCAAATTCTGGTTTCTGCCACTTACTAGTTATGTGACTTAAGTCGGAGTTTTCTAAACTGCAAAGTGTTTTTGTGAGGAATGCATAATTAATATAAAAGCACTTTGTATATTCCTTCCAGTTAGAACTAAATATATGATATCAAATTATTAATCACTACTATGGATTTCACATTTTCCCAATGATAAAAAACAAAATTTCCTAAATTTTTGGCCCTGTTAAATATATCAGACCTGTAAATAAAATGGTCACATGACTACTTACAATATTAAACAAAACATACGTATTTAAAAATATATACAAACATATTTTAGAAATATTATTTCCCTACACTCTTATCTTATAGAATTTTATTTTATATGCCCACATAAACTGTTTCATTATGACTAAGATGCTTAGAATCACTTGCCATGGTTTTTCAGGGCATCACATCTTCACTTTAAGGTTGAATAAAAATACCGTATTTCTAATAGATATTTTAGGGTGTCACTGGAAATATGATCTCATTTACAAAGTCCTGATTCTCATAAAACACTATCATTCCACTTATCCATTAACCATTAGTCCTTTAGATGCATATTCATGATCTCTACAATAGAACTAGTACAGTTTTAAAAAATTACCTTTTCAAGGCTTGTTCAATGCCATTCAACACTTGCAATTACATTCTTTTAGGGCTAATTACTAAATCTACATAGATATTTTTAAAAATGTTTTATTGATTTCAGAGAGAGGAAGGGAGAGGAGGAGAGTGATAGAAACATCAATGATGAGAGAGAATCATCGATTGGAGAATGTTGCATGCCCCACACTGGGGATATCAAGCCTGTAACCCAGGCATATGCCCTTCATTATTATTTTTAAATGTCTTATCCTTAGGTCAGAAATTTTTAATGAAGGTATAACATATTAGAATCACAGGGATGAAGGTGGAAAAGGTACTACTGAAATAACCTCAAGATTTATCTAATCTAAATCTGTGCTCTTACTTCATTCTTGAATGGTCTCTAAAATGTTCCCTTCAAATATCTGAGCACCTTTTTAGTAGCAGAAAACAACAAATTCCAAAGGCAGTCCATTCCATTTTCAGATGGTCCTTAACTGCTATTAAGCTGCTTTTCATGAAAAGTTGAAATCTAACTTTATGTACAACTACCAACTTCAGCGCTCTAGGGCAGTGCTGTGCAATAGAAATAAGAGTGAGCCACACAGTAAATTTTTAATGTGGCCACCAGAACATTTAAAAAAATTAAAAGAAACAAGTGAAACTAATTTTAATCAGTATATTTTATTTTTTACTCAATATATCTAAAATATTATCATTCCAAGATATAATTAGATATTTTACATTATTTTCATACTAAGTTTTTGAAGTTAGCATGCATTTATCATAATTAGTCATACTTAATATGGTTCGTGTTTTACTTTATGTAGTATAGCACATCTTATTTCTGACTGGCTACATTTCAAGTGCTCAACAGTTACCTGTGGTAGTGGTTACCATAATGAAGAGTCTAGTTCTGGAGCCATATGCACAGGCTTAATCACTCTTACATCTAATAGTTCTAAAAGTATTTTAAAAAAACAGATGTCAAACCTAGGCTAACCATTACTAATTACTTTAACCACTCTCCATAAAATATCCTTTCAAGTCCCTTCAAGACTGGGGCTAGGCCTACAAAGTTGGGACTTGGTTCTTATATTTCAACAGCAAAAACTATTTATTTAAATGGTATTAAACACTATCACAACAATTTGCCACGTTCCAGATAATGCTAGATTATTACAAATTTCATGTAATAATTCTCTGAACTTTTTAAGATATTTTATACCAAGAGAAAAGTTGCGAGAATAGTACAATGTATATCTATATACATATTATACTAAGCCATTTTTTAAAATTTATTTCTTTATTGATTAAAGTACTACATATGTGTCCTTATCCTCCCATTGCCCCCCCTCCCCACTCATGCCTTCACCCCCCCTGGTGTCTGTGTCCATTGATTAGGCTTATATGCATGCATCCAAGTCCTTTGGTTGATCTCTTCCCCTTACCCCCACCCTCCCCTACCTTCCCTCTGAGGTTTGACGGTCTGCTAAGCCATTTTAAAAGTATATTGCAACTCATACAACTTAACAAAAGGAAGATAAACAATCCAATAAAAAAATGGGCAAAGGACCTAAATGAACACTTTTCGAAAAAGGACATACCAGAAGGCCCAGAGACATATGAAAACATGCTCAAAGTCACTAATATCTGAGAGATGCAAATCAAAACAACAATGAGGTACCATCTCACACCTGTCAGAATGGCTATCATCAACAAATCAACAAA